TCAATTCCTAAAAAAAATTGCACCCTCAATGTACTATGACCCAAAAACTTTAGATCTAAACTTGTTTCATAGTGTCATGTGAATTTAGATCTGGAAATTTGTGCCATCAGAGCTCCCATTTGTTGGAAATTTGTTTTTAGTGTCTGTTTGTCATGCTGCGAATCAAAATTAAATATAAAAACATGTGTCTTGGTCGACTATATGTGCTGAATTATTTTCGGAGATGTTCACAAGTTTAGAGATATGTTCTCCTTGGCAAGATTGAATTTGGCTTAATATTTCAGGATTTTTTTGAAATTTTCATTGAAATTTCGTTGATATTTTTAATCCTGCTCCTTGGTATTATCGGCAGGATTTAGAGTTCTTTCGGCCAGACTTGTATATATGATTTTAATGGTCGACTAAGCATGCGAGTTTACAGTTCGTGTTTGTAAGTTGCCCGTGCATTTGTGCAGGCAACCATGCTACATTGACATTATGTATTTTATATTTTATTTCATTTGCTCATAATGATAAAAGTAGCTTGTAGTCAAACTTCTCCATTGACGTCTGACAACAATATTTGTACCTACTGTATAAGAAGGAAGAATTGGCCATTATTTATTTGTACCATTATTGCCGATAGCACCTTCTTTACTGTTAAAATAAATCCGAGGCATATCGTTGATCATTCAAGGACTAAGCAATCACACGAGCACGACACCGAGATTTGTTAACGAGGTTCACCGATATGGCTACATCCCCGGGGCCTGACTACGGACGCTCCTTCCCGTGACACCGTCACAATACCGCACCCCGGCCGCCCGGGCGCCGGCACACGCCGCTGACTCCCCCGCGTGCCCGTGCTATTATGTTGGCATAGGTTACATCGTGTGTCTACCCACAATATATATGAGAGGCCTAGAATACAAGTGTCCTATTAGGACACAACTCCTACCATGTCTACACATAGTCCAAACCAAGTCCGACTGTAATCTACCTTGTACAATAATATTCGACACAACTCTAACAAACTCCACCTTAGCGAATATTCTCCACCACCTTGAATTCGTCCGTGTGTCGACCTCCATGTACATTGGACTTGAGATACGCCATGAGCACCGCTGCTACTCCCAGACTCCATATGACTCCACTTGCAATTGTAGTCCCTTCTCGTCTTTTTAGCAGTCAACGCTCGAGCAAACTTAAGTTCCTCGTTACTCTACCTTGTGCTCCCAACTTCCGGAGTATCCGTCCAACACCATCACACACCGATCACTGTTTGCGTGAAAGTGAACAACTCACATATTGGATGCCACATATAAGAGTTACCCGAACTCAATGTCATCACTCTCCTTAACTGTATGTCTGAAACTTGAAGGAATTTCACCGTCACCCTGTGTCACCCTGAGTCAAATTCGCAGTTGTCTCATCCTTTTTTCCGGATAGTCTCTGGCATGTCCCACAACTATAGCACTCCGCCTCGTTCTGTACTTGTCATCCGCACTTTGCCATGTGCACCGAACACCACAGAATATACGGCCATGTACTCTCTCAGCTTTTGACAATTTCAGACTCTCCGTCACTTTCTCAGATTCTCCATGGTCAACTCCTGTCCATCTTCCGGCACCGATAGACCCAGTCACCAACTTGAATCCGGTACTCGTCAACACTGCTTCAGCACCCCCTGCACACTTTGTCTGACCACATGTCTCACCATTAGTGCATTGGTCTGTCGTTGTGTCCCCGTGCTTACCGCACGCCTCGCCGCTATCACCGCGTCGAGCCTCTGCTGTTCTGGTCGAGTCTCCCGGGTAGCTAGCCCCCACTATCTCAACTCACACTGCAGAGAACCATCGATCATCACCGACCGATGCCGAGTATCATGCCTCCATCAGACTACTGGTACCCAGTCCGATCCACGTGTCTCTCGCTATCCCGCTGAAATAGGCTTCGACTCTCCGAATTCTTACGCCGTAGCCCCTCCATCAGCACAGAGTGAAGTCATCTGTCTAACTCCAGCTCCACCTTCAACATGACTTCATGGTGGTTGTACGTACCACCCTCCCGCGCCCTGTCGACTCCAAGCTCTCATGTGCACCGTCTTGAATCAACCTTGCGACATAGTCTGTCGAAGCCGCACAAGCCCTCAAACTTGCACCACGTGTTTCCACGCCCCAAAAGCCGGCCACCATCAGCATCACGCTCCTGTGTCGTCGTCGCTGAAATCACCGCCGTCTTCTACTTTGACATTCCCGTCGATCCATCAGACTGTCCAGTCCAACCCAGCCGAAATTATCTGACTGCAATCATGCTTCACCCTGCGTCGTGTCCGCCTGCACATCTTCATGCCTTGCTTAACGCCCTGTGTATGCATGATCCTGCCACGACGAACTCCAGACTCCTCCGAGCCTTATACGCACGTCGCCATCCTCGCCACATACTCTTTGAACCCTCTGAACAATCTTAACGGAAAAACTTCCATGCAAAATACCTATTCCTTGCACCATAATTTTTCATATCCATTGCCTAGTACTTGTACGTGTACTCTAGCAGCAAGACAAATTGTTTCATCTCTCAACTGCCCCTGTACGCAATCAAGTTCCGTATGCATGTGTCGACAGGCACTAAAGCCTTCTTTTTTTTAACCACAAATCTCATGTCTACAGGCACTAAAGCCTTCTTTTTTTTAACCACAAATCTCACGAACCAGCCTCGCCACGATGCACCCTCGACCTGCAACTTGCACGCCAGCCTCTACCCAACTCGCACACGCATACGGGCCTCTCGCGCAGCAACCCACACGGCTTCGCCTAGGCCTGTTGCCGGGCTGCAACGAGCCTAGCTCCTCCACGACTGGGCCACCTTGGACGCCACCTAGGCCACGCGCCTGGCTCTGACTTGCCGTTCGCTCGACCCTACACGACGCTTGCGTCAGCCCCTGTCGTCTGCCTATGAGGGCATGTACAATGGTTGATAAAACAGTCTTATCTTAAGTCTTGCATGTAATTTAGAGATGACAAAAAAGTATGTCTACAATGAGTTATATCTTAACCTTATCTTCAATAGTTAGTCATTTCTTAAAATATGGTGAGACAAATTGTGCTAAGAGATCATCTCTTGTCTTATCTGAAATAAGAGAAGACAAACCTTTCCTTGTGAGTTTTCTCTCCTCCACCTCATCATTAATCCTACGTGGCACTCCTAAGATAGCACCATTGTACATGCCCTGAGCCTACACCAGCCCCCGCATCGCGTTATGCCACTGATTGGCCGAAACCAATCTGACGATCACCAAAGTCGCCGATAACGTGCTGCCTTTCGCTGATTCTGTCTGCTTTCCGATTGCTCTCCGTCACGACAATCTCCGATCGCTGCCCGACGTCTCGCACGCACGTCGTGCTCATCTACAACCGGTCTTCATCGTGCTCTCCTCTAGATTAACAACGAGCGCTCTTCTCGAACCTTGCTCATGATACCATTTGTTAGAATAAATCCGAGGCATATCGTTGATCATTCAAGGACTAAGCAATCACACGAGCACGGCACCGAGATTTGTTAACGAGGTTCACCGATATGGCTACATCCCCGGGGCCTGACTACGGGCGCTCCTCCCCGTGACACCGTCACAATACCGCACCCCGGCCGCCCGGGCGCCGGCACACGCCGCCGACTCCCCCGCGTGCCCGTGCTATTATGTTGGCATAGGTTACATCGTGTGTCTACCCACGATATATATGAGAGACCTAGAATACAAGTGTCCTATTAGGACACAACTCCTACCATGTCTACACATAGTCCAAACCAAGTCCAACTGTAACCTACCTTGTACAATAATATTCGACACAACTCTAACATTTACAAAGAAATGCATTATGCGATATAACACACTATTTAGCTGAGTTTTATTTTCGCGATTGCATGCGTGATTTTGGAATCAACAATAGTTTCTCCTTCCGACGGACCGTTAGCCCAAACACCTCTGTCATATCAATATCTTTTCTCTCAACCTCAAGCGGAAGTTCCCAGTCAAAATGGCACACAAGGTTTGCCAACATAAGCTTGACATTCGCGATTCCGAGGTTCATACCAGGGCACATCCTCCGTCTTGCTCCGAACGTCAAGAACTGGAAATCATTTCCCTTGAAGTTGACATGCATACTGCTGCCTTCATGTATAAATCTTTCAGGAATGAACTCTTCCACATACTCCCAGGAGCTCGGGTCCCTACCAATGGCCCACGCATTGACGGCCACACGTGTCCCAGCAGGAACTATGTATCCGTCGATGATACAGTTAGCCCTGGCAAGGTGCGGAGCAAGGAGAGGAGCAAGAGGATGTAGCCAGAGCGACTCTTTTATGACTGCTCTTAGGTACGTCATGTTGTTCATGTCGGTTTCACTGATAATTTCTTGTCCTTGGGGTACTATACCCCTCACTTCATCTTGTAGCTTCACCATCAGGTGTGGCTTCCTCATGAGCTCAGCCAAGGTAAATTCGAGAGCGTTAGCTGATGTGTCTATCGCACCAAAAAATACATCCTGCTTATATGAATTAATTAGAACAATGAAAGATGTATACAAATCAATATGTTTAGATTGAAAGGTATTACCTGTACTAACGGTAAGGAGAGCTTTCATGTGCTCTCTTGTGAGATCATACTCCTGTTGGACAGACAACATAATATCCACAAAATCATCATCCTTGTGATCAGACGTTGAATTGCGCTTGCTCACACGATCGTCGATCACCTTGTCCAACAAATCGGCCCATCTGTTCCTCACTCTTTTGGCCTTGGCACAAACCGCCTTCTTGAGCATTCCTACCCTACCCACTGTCGGGAAGTACTCCTCCAAATTGAACCCGCCTAGCAGCCGTGAGGTATCCTTGATGAGTTCCCCGAACAACTTGCTTTGACCATCTTTCAGGAAGAACTTCCCCGACACAATGCGGCACGCCATGTCATTCGCGAATGTGTGGAGCAGCTCGCTCATGTCCACCGCAGCATCAGCAGCTGCTGCCTAATTGATCTTAGCCATCGCCATGCTGACCTATAATAGCATGGGTCGTAAAGTATGAGAAGCTAACATTTACATATGTAGTACTTTCTCGGTCCAGGTTAATATATAAGTTTCCCTGGTATTTTGTGTCAAAGGTGGACCATATATAGATTCAACTACTGTTGGATTCGTATTCAAAAGTAGTTTCAGGTGGTATCATTTTTTATACATAAAGTCTATGTTTTACTATTAGTTAATTTTATTTTAGAAGTTAAACACAAACTATGAGCGAAACTAATAATCCCGGACAGAGGGAGAAACAGTTTGAAGAGGACCACATGAAAGTCCTTTCCGTTATTTTGTTTCTGACGGAAGTGAGAGACCAATTCAGTACGAGAATAATGAGAGCAAGATCTTAAAAGAAAGGCTGTTAGCACCTGGAAATTTAAATATAATTAAAAACCAGTACCTCCTCCGCAGCGGCGCCGCGGAAAGACTGCACCTTCTTGACGCTGAGCATTGTTAGGAATAAACCACGTTTTGCCGTGGTCATCTATGTGTGTGTCACGTTGGTGTGTCCGGCGCGTTGGGCAAGGGGCCGTTGCGAGCGTCCGTAGCAAGTTAGTTGCATGCAACATGCAAGTCTGTTAGTGCTGCTTGGTCAAGGTAGTTGTTGAGTCCCCTTGATCTGGAGAGATTTCAGGAAGAGGTGGACGTGCCCTAGTGCATGGATTAGGTCTAGTGGGTTAATGGCCCTGAGTGCCGGCTAGGTAGCGCATGCGGCAAACCTCTCCTGTGTATATAAGCATTGCACTCAGTTAATGAAAAGGCGGCCCAGAGGGCTGAGGCAGAAACAATGTAACCAGCGTATTCACCAAGGGGAAGAGCCTCTGGGCAAAGCTTTCTAGGCTCTTCCTTGTACATGCGTGTGTGTGAGTTTCTCCTTCTTGTGTGATTTTGAGGGAAACAAAGAAAGAAGAGAGTTGTGTGAGGCAGTTCGAGGAAGAAGCGGTGCTGCGAGAAGAGGCGGCGCCAACAATTGGTATTCAGAGCCACAAGGTTCGAGGGGCGGCCGTGGCGCGCTGTGGCGTCCGTGGCGTGCGCGGCCGACATGGAGGCATCGGCTGCGGCACGCGGCGAGCTCGTGGCGATGGCGACGCGCGGCGAGTCCGCGGCTATGCAGTGTGATGTCGTGCGCGCCAAGAGCACGGTGGTCGCGGAGACGAGGAGGTCGCGAAGGACCTGCGTGGTGGCGCAGAGGTCGCGGCGGCTCGGCGCGACAACCGTGGAGGCGTGTGGCACGGAGCCGCAGCGGCCGCGGCGGACGTGCGTGGTGGCGCAGAGGCTGCGGTGGCGTGGCGTGGCGGCATGGAGGTGTTGCGATGCGGTTGAGGCCGCAGCGGTGTAGGGCAATAAGCCGCGGCGGCGAGCCGGGCGCGACCGGTGCATGTTATGGGTGCGCACTGGACGCGTCGGGCGCGTCGGGACCGCGGGTGCGCGTATGTGCGTGCGGTTGACGTTGGGAGGAGGCGTATGTCGCCGTTGTGTTCGAGTCCGTGCTCGAGTTCGGCTACATCCTTCAGGCGCTTGTCGCTGGCGGCTGCCATGGCGGACGCGGAGGCGGCGCGCGGTGAGTCCATGGCGTGTGGTGTGATCGGGCTCGTCGGGCGTGCCGGATGCATGCGGGACGTGCGGGACGTAGAGGGACGCCAGACGTGTGTCGCCTGCGGAGAAGGAGCTCGGCGTGTGTCGCCGAGGAAGAGGATGAAGACTGCGTCACGCTTGGTGGAGGCCGTAGCGACCGCCATGGCAACGACGTCGTGGTTTAGGAGGAGATTGTTAGGAATAAACCACGTTTTGCCTTGGTCATCTATGTGTGTGTCACGTTGGTGTGTCCGGCGCGTTGGGCAGAGGGGCCGTTGCGAGCGTCCGTAGCAAGTTTGTTGCATGCGACATGCAAGTCTGTTAGTGCTGCTTGGTCAAGGTAGTTGTTGAGTCCCCTTGATCTGGAGAGATTTCAGGAAGAGGTGGACGTGCCGTAGTGCATGGATTAGGACTAGTGTGTTAATGGCCGTGAGTGCCGGCTAGTTAGCGCATGCGGCAAACCTCTTCTGTGTATATAAGCATTGCACTCAGTTAATGAAAAGGCGGCCGAGAGGGCCGAGGCAGAAACAATGTAACCAGCGTATTCACCAAGGTGAAGAGCCTCTGGGCAAAGCTTTCTAAGCTCCTCCTTGGTACATGCGTGTATGTGAGTTTCTCTTTCTTGTGTGAGGCAGCTGGAGGAAGAAGAAGCGGTGTTGCGAGAAGAGGCGGCGCCAATAAGCATGTGGGTGGTGACGAGCTTCCGTGCTTGCCGCCAGTACTCATTGTATGGCGCAAAGCCGATGTCAGACGAGCCGTATATGATGGTGTCGGAGACGACCGAGTGAGGCCGTGACGCGAAGACGTGGTCGTGGGTGCGCAGCACCGCCTCGGCGGCGGGCGAGGAGGATACAACGAGGTTTGGCACGGCGCCCAGACGGAGGAGTATCACGTCGGGGTCATGCTTCCTTGCGAGGCCACGGAGAGAGACGTGGAGGAGGGAGCCGATGAGGTGGAGGTGCTCCATGATGGGCAGCCCCGGCGGCGAAGGCGGGAGGTGCTGCCTTTTCGCACTGAACTTTCTTGTGAACCAGTAATGCACATACACGAGGAAGAGAGGGAAGAGGAAGAGAAATAACCATGACCGTGGAAGGGTCTCTAGCAAGAGTTTCTGCAGGAGATCCGCCATGGCGAGCCGACGTCTGCAGTGACTGGCTCTGTAAGTACTCACTCTGGACTGGAGCTCTCCCGGGGAAATGACGAGCTCAGTTGCTTATAAGCAGCCAGGCAAAGTAAAAAAGGCCAAAAGCATATGTTTGGAGCAATGAACTTGCAGCGAGATATTCGTGATGGTGACTGTACTGTGTCCAAGTCACGTCTAGTCTTCCAGATGGATGAACTCTAGCTTCGTACTCAACCAGCATACGTTTGCTCATAGTCGAATCTGCAAAGTTTCAGATTTGTTTTGCTAAGTTTTCGGTCGTGGGTGTAGCGGGGGTGCAATGTCCGTGGGTGTAGAACAACTACACTCTATTTAAAACCATGTCTTGACACTAATAGAAAAGGAGGCAACGGTCCAAGCCGGGTCAGCCCATTAGTCCCGGTTCAGTCTAGAACCGGGACCCATGGGGCATTGGACCCGGTTCGTGAGTCCAGGAGGCCGGCCGGGCCACGTGGGCCATTGGTCCCGGTTCGTCTGGACCTTTTGGTCCCCGTTGGTGGGACGAACCGGGACCAATAGGCCTCGCTCCTGGCCCACCACCATTGGTCCCGGTTGGTGGCTTGAACCGGGACCAAAGGCTCCCCTTTGGTCCCGGTTCAAGTCACCAACCGGAACCAATGAGGTGCCTATATATACCCCCTCGCGTAAGAGCAGAGCACAATGCTCTGTTTTTTTTCTGGCCGAGGGGGAAAGGGCTTGGTGGTGCTTTAGCTCACCTCCTATTCACACAAGGTGTTCGATGGAATGCCCGAGCCACACTACTTAAGCTTTCTCCTCTCCAAGCTCCATTTTCCTCAATATTTGTCTAGGTTTAGCGGTCCGTCATGCCCCGTCCCCATCTTCACTGCCGTCGATCACCCGCGCCGAGCTCATCGCCGGCACCACCGTGGTGAGCCTCTTATTCTTATCTTCTTTGTGAAAAGAAAAAATATTCTTACTTGTATGTTTACATACATACTTGTATTATTTTATTACTTTTATTATTGCATCTTATATAGTGCGATGGTTTTGGTATCCGCCCTCGTCGGCCCTCGTCCTGTCTGTGATTCGGATGTGGTATATATATTATCTTTATAACTATTGGTTCATTTATTGTTTATGAAATTTATGCCGACCAACGTGACATAGATTTTATTTATGTAGGATGTATGTGAATCGGAAATGCCAACCGACCCTATTGTGGAGAGGTTAAATTTAGTTGAAGAAGAAAACAATTTGTTGAAGGAAAAAATAAAAAAAATTGAGGAGGAGAAGATGATATTGGAGTTGCATGTTGCGGATGTCGTCGATGATCACAAGATCAAGATGGATGCAATGCGCTTGAAGATTAGAAAGATTAGAAAATATGTCATTCATACCGAGGCTTGGTATCATTATGCCGTTGGATCAATTGTTACCTTGGTTGCGATTATGATCACATTTGTTTTTGCATTGAAATGTTTTACATAGTTTCAATGTATGGTTTAATTAATTAGATGCTCTTGAGAGCTATATGTTGTTAGATGAGAACTATGTATGTACTTTGGTTTTAATGTGATGATGAACTTCTATTAATTTGGACACTTAATTATATATAACGCACGCAGATAAACCGGCAATGGATGTACGGTGACAGACACACCTCCGAGTACATTAAGGGCGTGCATGAGTTTCTCGATGCGGCTGAGGCAAACAAGCAGAATGGTTTAATGTGTTGTCCATGCACTGAATGTGGGAATACGAGGTCTTACTCTATCCGGAAAATCCTTCACTCCCACCTGCTTTACAAGGGTTTCATGTCACACTATAATGTTTTGACGAGGCATGGAGAAATAGGGGTTATGATGGAAGACGGCGAAGAACAAGAATACAATGACAACTATGTGCCCCCTGAATACGTGATGCTGCAACGGGGGGAGCTGGTGAAGATCAAGAGGAAGCAGATGATGTGCCCAATGATGCTGCAATGGGTGAAGCTGCTGAAGATCAAGAGGAACCAGACGATGTGCCCGATGATGATGATCTCCACCGGGTCATTGTCGATGCAAGGATGTAATGCGAAAGTCAAAAGGAGAAGCTGAAGTTCGATCGCATGTTATAGGATCAAAAAAAAGGGTTGTACCCCAATTGCAAAGATGGCAACACAAAGCTCGGTACCGTACTGGAATTGCTGCAGTGGAAGGCAGAGAATGCTGTGGCTAACAAAGGATTTGAGAAGCTACTGAAAATATTGAAGAAGAAGCTTCCAAAGGATAACGAATTGCCCGATAGTACATACGCAACAAAGAAGGTCGTATGCCCTCTAGGATTGGAGGTGAAGAAGATACATGCATGCCATAATGACTGCATCCTCTATCGCGATGCATACAAGGATCTGAACGCATGCCCGGTATGCGGTGCATTGCGGTATAAGATCAGACGAGATGACCCTGGTGATGTTGACGGCGAGCCCCCGAGGAAGAGGGTTCCTGCGAAGGTGATGCAGTATGCTCCTATAATACCACGGTTGAAACATATGTTCAGAAACGAAGAGCATGCCAAGTTGATGCGATGGCACAGTGAGGACCGTAAGAAAGACGGGAAGTTGAGAGCACCCACTGACGGGTCGAAGTGGAAAAAAATCGAGAGAAAGTACTGGGATGAGTTTGCAAAGGACCCAAGGAACATATGGTTTGCTTTAAGCGCGGATGGCATTAATCCTTTCGGGGAGCAGAGCAGCAATCACAACACCTGGCCCATGACTCTATGTATGTATAACCTTCCTCCTTGGATGTGCATGAAGCGGAAGTTCATTATGATGCCAGTTCTGATCCAAGGCCCTAAGCAACCCGAAAACGACATTGATGTGTACCTAAGGCCATTAGTTGATGGAAATGGTGTACGTACGTGGGATGAGCACAGACAGGAGGAATTTATCCTAAAGGCGTTGTTGTTCGTGACCATCAACGATTGGCCCCCTCTCAGTAACCTTTCAAGACAGACAAACAAAGGATACCACACATGCACGCACTATTTAGATGACACTGAAAGTATATACCTGGACAAATGCAGGAAGAATGTGTACCTGGGCCATCGTCGATTTCTTCCGACCAACCATCAATGTCGAAAGAAAGGCAAGCATTTCAAAAGCGAGGCAGATCACAGGAAGATGCCCGCCATGCGTACCGGTGATCACGTACTTGCTATGGTCAATGATTTACACGTAATAATTGAAAAGGGTCCCGACGGACTAGCTGTTCCGAATGACGTTGATGGACACACACCCATGTGGAAGAAGAAATCTATATTTTGGGACCTACCCTACTGGAAAGACCTAGAGGTCCACTCTTCAATCGACGTGATGCACGTGATGAAGAACCTTTGTGTGAACCTGCTAGGCTTCTTGGGCGTGTATGGGAAGACAAAAGATACACCCGAGGCACGGGAGGACCTGCAACGTTTGCATGAAAAAGACGGCATGCCTCCGAAGCAGTATAAAGGTCCTGCCAGCTAGGCTCTTACGAAAGAAGAGAAAGAAATCTTCTTTGAATGTCTGCTCAGTATGAAGGTCACGACTGGCTTCTCGTCGAATATAAAGGGAATAATAAATATGCTAGAGAAAAAGTTTCAAAACCTAAAGTCTCATGACTGCCACGTGATTATGACGCAACTGCTTACGGTTGCATTGAGGGGCTTCTACCGGAAAACATCCGATTAGCCATTGTGAAGCTATGTGCATTCCTCAATGCAAATCTCAGAAGGTGATCGATCCATAAATCGTACCAAGGCTAAGGAGTGATGTGGCGCGATGTCTTGTCAGTTTCGAGCTGGTGTTCCCACCATCCTTCTTCAATATCATGACGCACGTCCTAGTTCATCTAGTCGACAAGATTGTCATCCTGGGGCCCGTATTTCTACACAGTATGTTCCCCTTTGAGAGGTTCATGGGAGTCCTAAAAAATATGTTTGTAACCGTGCTAGGCCAAAAGGAAGCATCTCCATGGGCCATCAAACAGAGGATGTTATCGGGTTTTGTGTTTACTTCATTTCTGGCCTTAAGAAGATAGGTCTCCCTAAATCGCGGTATGAGGGGAGACTGACTGGAAAAGGCGCTCTTGGAAGTGACTCAATAATATGCAGGGACGGATATTCTTGGTCTCAAGCACACTACACAGTTCTATAGAACTCTACCTTGGTGACCCCGTATGTCGATGAACACAAGAACAGTCTGCGCTCCAAACACCCGGAGCAGTGCGATGACTGGATTACATGTGAACACATCAGGACTTTCAACAGTTGGTTGGAGATACGTCTCAGAGGTGACAACACTGTTTGTGATGACCTGTACTTGTTGTCCAAGGGACCATCTTTGACTGTATTGATTTATAAAGGATACGAGATAAATGGGAATGCATTTTACACAATCGCCCAAGATCAAAAGAGCACCAACCAAAACAGCGGTGTCCGCTTTGATGCAGCAACCGAGAGCGAAAAGGACACATATTATGGTTACATAGTGGACATATGGGAACTTGACTACGGACATGATTTTAAGGTCCCTTTGTTTAAGTGCAAATGGGTCAATCTGTTAGGAGGCGGGGTACATGTAGACCCATAGTACGGAATGACAAAAGTGGATCTGAAAAATCTTAGGTACACTGACGAACCGTTCGTCCTAGCCAATGATGTGGCACAGGTTATCTATGTGAAGAACATGTCTACCAAACCGAGAAAAAGAAAAGATAAGGAAGCGAATATATCATACGATGAGCCATAGCGCCACATAGTTCTTTCAGGAAAAAGGGATATCCTGGGAGTGGAGGCAAGACAGACATGTATGAAGATTATGAAAAGTTTCATGAAATTCCTCCCTTCAATGTCAAGGCTGACCCAAGCATCCTGATAAACGATGAAGATTATCCATGGTTACGGCGCAATAAGGAAATGACACAAGCGAAAAAAAAAGTGAAGACTTTCTCTCGCAACTATTATGATGATACCATGCGAAC